AATTATATTAAATACAAATAGTTAAATTAAAAGTCAAAGATTGTCAGACAAGATTAAAAAGTAAGACCCGATTATACTCTATGTACATGAGACCCACCACAGATATAAAATAGGTTTGAAGTCAAAGAATGAAAAAGACTACATCACACCAATACAAATTGAAAGAAAGCTGGAGCAGCCATATTAGCATCAAAGTAGAGTTTAGAACAAGAAATATTACCAGAGATAAAAATGGTACATTACATGATGACAAAGAGGTCAATTCACCAAGATGACATATATTTCTAAATGTGTATGGGACTTAACACCAGAGCTTCAGACAATATGAAGCAAAAACTCTTAGAAATGAAAAACAGAAATAATCAAATCCACAGGTGGAGTCAGAGACTTCAATACTCCTCTTTTGGTGATCAACAGAACAAAATCTGTAGGCAAAAATCAATATAAAAAATAAACATTAGAAAATCTGAAAAATAGCCTCAAACAACTTGAAGTAATCTATCAAATCTCTGCCCAATAATAGAATATAGTCTTTTCAAGTACACATTAAACATTCAAAAAGTCAGAACATATTCAGGGTAATAAAACAATTCTTAATTTTTTTTTGTTTTTAACTTCATCATATTATGGGGGTACAAATACTGTTAAGGTTACATATATTGTCCTTGCCACCCAGCCCCACCACCGAGTCAGAGCTTCAAGCCCGTCCATCCTCCAGGTGGTGTGCGTCGCACTCATTACGTAAGTATACAACCATCCCATCCTCCCCCCTCCCACCTGCCTGACCCCCGATAAATGTTTCTTTTTCCTTTTTTTTTTTTTTTTTTTGACATTTTGGCTACATTTTATATCTTTGCCTCTCCCTAGGAAGGGTTAGAGGTATGCCCTTCCCCTCCACGATGCTCACCACATCCCTAAGATGTGGGTATACTCCTCCCCATCCCTGGTGAACACTACGACCAAATAACAAATGCTGGCGGGGATGTGGAGAGACAGGAACACTCTTACACTGCTGTGGGACTGCAAATTAGTGCATCCTTTGTGGAAAAGAATTTGGAGATACCTCCAACAGCTAAAAATAGAAATACCATTTGACCCAGTAATATAGCATTATTAGGCATCTACCCAAAAGAGCATAAGACATTCTGTTATAAAGACATCTGCACCTGAATGTTTATGGCAGCACAATTCACTATTGCAAGGACATGGAAACAACCCAAGTGCCCATCAATTCATGAGTGGATAATTAAAATTTGGTATATGTTCACAATGGAATATTACTCAATTCTAAGAAATAACAGCGAGCTAGCACTGCTTATACTATCCTGGATTAAGCTTAAGCCCATTATCCAAAGAGAGGTAACACACGAATGGGCTCCATATGTACTCGCCATCAAATTGGAACTGACTACAACTATGGTGCTCAAATTCTTAATTTTTTTAAACTAAAATAATACAAAGTATGTTCTCAGGTCATAATAGAATTAAACTAGAAATCAACAACAGAAAAAAATATCTAGAATATTTCTAATACTTGAAACCTATCCAAAACACTTTTAAGTAACCAATGTGTGAAGGAGGAAATTAAAAGAGAAACTAGAAAGTATTTTAATCAAATGAAAATAGAAACATAACATATATTTATTGATGCATATAAAGCACTGCCTGGAGGCAAATTTATACATTAAATGATATTAGAAAATGAAAAAGAACAAATTATACCCAAAGCAAAAAAAGGGAAGAAAAAAATAAGATAATAGCAGAAACCAATGAAATCAAGAGTAGAAAAACAGTAAAGAAATAATGAAAACAAAACGATTCTTTGGGGCGGAAAAGACAGATAATTTCTAACCAGACATATCAAAAACAACAGAAAAAAAACTAATATCAGGAACTTTGTGATAAATTAACATAATGAAATTACTGAAAACAAGGTACCAAACCACTTAGAAAAAATGAATCAAATCAGATAAAATGCTTTAAATAATTGAATTTGCACTTCAAAACCTGCCCACAAAGAAAATTCCAGGTTCAGAGGCTTCATTGAAAAACTCTAGCAAACACTAAAAAATAAATAATACTAATTCTACACAAATTTGTCTAGATTATATGAAATGAAAAACACTTTACAGCTCATTTTATGAACCAACATTACCTAATACAAAACAAGATATGCAAGAAAACTAAAACAATATCCTAATTAAATAGTTGGGAAAAAATCCTCAATAAAATACTAGCAAATCAAATTCAGCTATATATATCCTTTTCAGTATGAAAAGGATAATATACCATAACCAAGTGGATTTTATTCAAGTTATGCATGACTGGTTCAAAAATTCAAAAATTCATCAGTGTAATGCATTTCAACATACTAAACAAGAAAAATCATATGATCATCTTAATAGATGCAAGACATTTCACAGAATTCACCATCCTTTTTTGATAAAAACCTCCACAAAATTGGCATGCAAGGGAACTTCTACAACATAACAAAGAGCATCTACAGAAACATAAACCTAACTACTAAGTAACAGTAAGAGACAGAAAAGATTTTACACTAAGTCTAGGATCAAAGCAAGGATATCTACTCTAATCACTCTTATTTACCTGATAATAGAGGTCCTGTCCAGTGTACTCAGTCAAGAAAAAGAGATAGACATTGATATTGGAAAGAAAGATATAAAACTAGAGACAACCCAAATATCCCTGAACTGATGAAATCAACAATCAATCAAAGTGATTGATCAAATCAATCATTCATGCAATGGAATATTATTCAGCAATTTAAAAGGACAAACTGCTGAGACACACAACACGGATGAATTTCAAACACATTATGGTAAGTGAAAGATGCCAGACTCAAAAAACTACAAACTACGTAATTCCATCTATATGACATTCTGTAAAAAGAGGAAACACTAGAGACAGAAAACATACCAGCACTTGCCAGGGGCTGGAGATGAAGGAACAGATTAACTATGAAGGGATGTGGGGGAATTTTTTGAGATAATAAAACCATTTCATACTTCATGGTGGCAGTTACAAGACTGTGTCTATTTGTCAAAAATCACAGAACTGTACAATAAGGATGAATTTTAGTGTATGTATATTATACCTTCAAAAGGGGGGGGGGAAGAGTATGCAAACTCTAGAGTCAGACTGCCTGAGCTCTGCCTCTTGCTAAATGTGGATCTTGGATATGTTCTCAAACTCTCTAAGCATCAGTTTTATCAACTATAAGGTGAGAATTATAATAGTTTACATCGCATAAAATTGTTAGCTTCCCTTGTTGCTATTCCATCATCAATTATTTTTTGATATCCTACTATATACCTAACATTGTGCTCACTGTTAAGGATACAGAGACGAATCTATGTCATGGTCCTTGCCTTCCAGAAGGTTACAATCTAGTGAACAAGCAAGCATCCCTTAATGGAGAAATTAACACAATTGTTTTACTGCCATGAGATTTTACAACAACTACAAAAATTAACAAAACCAGTGTTAAGCATCTATTTAGCCAAATTCACAACAGTTGCACATATAGTTCAACTTTGGCAAGAATTTTCCAAACTAAAAATTGAAATTTCAACTCGAATCTATTTTTAAAGACTCAAAATGGCAATTATTTATGATTTATCAGGTTCGGAAAGAATATCAGCCTACCTCATTTCCACCAATTTATTCTAGCATTTCAATATTGCTTTAATTTGAATACCAGTATCAAGAAAGCATTAGGAGAAGCATATGAAAGTATGTTTCCTTATATACCAAGACTTCACACATCTGAATAAAACACTGCCCTAGGCTGGGCACAGTGGCTCACACCTGCAATCCCAGAACTGTGGGAGGCTGAAGTGGGAGGATTGCTTGAGTCCAGAAGTTCAAAACCAGACTGGGTGACATAGTAAGATCCCATCTCTGCAAAAAATAGGAAAATTAGCCAGGCGTGGTGGTGTGTACCTGCAGTACCTGCAGCTACTTGAGAGGCTGAGGCAGGATGATAGCTTGAGCCCAGAAGTTCGAGGTTGCAGTGAGCTATAATGCACCACTGCACTCCAGCCTAGGCAAAAGAGTGAGACCTTGTCTCAAAACAAACAAACAAAAAAACCATTTCCTAAAAACATAAAACTAAGAGGGATCACTGAAAATGGATGAAAAGCCTATGAGCTATTCTACTACTCCAGAACATTCTTCTGTCTCCAAGAAGGGAATTAATGACTTTGTCTTTGGATCACTTAAATAATCCACTAATCTGCGTGAGCTATGTATGCATTACAACCACACATGCATACTTCCCTGCATCTCATTTACCTCTCCCTTAGCCAGATAGAATGCCCTTACTTCAGTGTTAGAGGATTAGAAGCGTGAGAATTCATGCTGGAACACACTACAGCTATTGTTACAGAGTTAATTACATTTCTATCATATTCATCATGCATATATTGAAGACCTAGTATGTGCTCAGTTCTGAATGCATAAAGCTTTATAGGCAGTTTTTATCAAGTATGTCCTTGCCATTCAGGGCTAAAAGAAAATCAAGCTATTCTCATTTCAAAGATTTCCTTATCTCCTGTCATCTCACATCACATCTCAGTAAAACACTGTGAGAAGTGTTCTTGGAGTGTTATCAACTAAAAATTCTGCAATAAGTATGGCTTTTTGCACAGGATTTCACACTGAATAATATAGTAACATCTAGAAATTCCTAACCTAAAGGAAAAAAAGAACATTTTAAAAGATATTTTAAAAAGCATGACATGTGCACAAGGGGTTTCTCAAACAATCCACAGACTCATTTTCACCATTTCACTTGCTCAGAACTATGGTTTTGGAATATCGAGCCCCTAGACATAGAGCTTCTGAAATCAGAAGCCAGTATGTGGGAAGGTATAAGAGAGAGAAAAATAAAATCCATGTGAGAGCTAAAAAAAAAGTAAAAATAAAATAAGTAGAAATGCCCTTTGGAAGAACCCAGAGAAAATGACTGGCTAGCTTACCTTGTTTTTTTCCATTAACAGTTTCTAAAGTACCAGGGATCTGACTGTCAAAGCTGTATGCAAGGCCACTTCTTTGCTTTTCAAGGTGATGCTCTTCCTCGGCAATAGAAGAAAGCACATGTGGTGACTTTTGGTCATCAAGGGTCTGATTGGGCCACTGGGACATTGTCGAACATGAGTCCTTTGCATGTTGGCTAAGTCTGGGGCTTGGGCTTTGGGCAGAGTTCTGCAAATCACTATTACAACATGAGAAGTGATCCACTTCAAGAAATACGGAATTTTCATCCTCTTGACTCCAATCATTGTCTTGTTCTTCATCTCCAAAGTAAGTTTCCTGAATCTTAATATCATCTACATCCTGGTCTAGTTTGTCACTCAATTTAGAGTCTTGTTGGCTTATGTTAACCAGCGAAGCAGATAATATATCTCCTGCTTGCTGGAGAGCTTCATAAACCCGAGATATCCAGGAAGAGAAAGGCTGGAAGAAGTTCTGAGCCTCCTGAGATGCCATGGCCAACACCATGGCCAGCTCTTTGATGTCTACCGAGTCCACTTGCTCCGTTCCTTCAGTACTCTGGACTTAATGTGAACTACAGAATAAGCATGATGAGAAATTTAATTGGAGGTCTCCTAATGGCTGTGAATATTTCACTCTCAAAACTTCTCAGCTGAAACAGAGGAAAGAAATACTTATACCTGTTAAAGTTACCACCTCAGGCCCATCACCAGATACCTACAATCAATTTCAAACAGCACTTAGGGACAAAAAAATCATCTTTGAAATCTTAAGATAGCTAAATAAAAATGACTGCAAAAGTCTAGATGTAGGTTATTTCAATGCCTATTCACCCTCACAGGCATGTGCAAAGCTTCCATTAGCAGTAATGGGTTCCATTCATGTGGACCGAGAGAAGTCTATCCCCGACAGACCACGCTTAACAGTGTGAAAAGGAGAAATGAATCTTCATTAAGATCCAGTTAGGCATGACATTTCAAAATACATGAAAAGTTGGATGTTTCATCGATGAATCCGCAGATCCCAGAGAGATGACTAATAAGCATCTCTGCTTTGTAACACAAAGGTTTATCCTTTCAAAGGAAATGTGTGTCTGGAATTAAAAAGCTTTAAACAAATCTTAAAATAGGATTTTATATTTTTATGCAATTTCTAGAAATTATATCTATTCTTGGGGAGCAATCACTGAAAAACTATGGGTGGCAAATGGTTTATCTAGCTTACTGGAGACATGCCCCTGGCATCTCATTGCTTTTGTCTATGTTCCAACCTCCCAAAGACAGCCGTCGACAACCTTTGAGACTCCTGAGACACACTGCATCCAGGAGATTTGCAGCCTGAAAGAAGCAGCCACAGGACATCAACAGAACAACAGGACAGTATGAAGACCCTAGAGCTAAATACCTATACTTTTACATGTATACATGCAGACCAACATATACATGTACATATATATGCATACATGTGTATGTTATGTATGTGTGTATATATATTTTTATTGATGTTCACTACTCATCAACAGCTCAAGATGAATGTTATAAATAACTATAAAGCTTGAACTCACTGCTCGAACTTAATTTACCCCATCTCTTTTGTAGCAATAGTTTCTTCTGACTAAATCTATTAACAATCTCAGGTTTCAGCTCTTTTGACCTCAGGCTACTGCATTTGATAGGACTGCTTACATTCTTCCAAAAATTTCTAGTTAGCCATTCACAGATGCATTGATTCACTCAAACAAATATTGATTAAGTACCTAACAATTGCTGGGCACAATGCCAGCTATAAGGTAACCCTGAGAGCTCTGTCTCCATGGATTCCACATTTCAGTTAAAGGGAAACTGAGCTCTCTGCATTTTCCCCTATGCTGAATAATTCATGTGTCTTTATGTCAGGCTTTTCCTTGCCCTCACCCCAACCACATGTACACAACCACCCACTATCCTGTGGCTTTTCCTCCTTCCCCTTTATACTTACCAGCTAGGAGAGTTGGCCCATCCCTAAGTTTCAATCAATGCATTTTTAGAAAAACATATACCTTTTTAGAAAAATATACACCAAAATGTACACCTCCAATCCTTTGCTCAATCCTTCTTTCCAGACTTGTATCTCTAGCTATCTAAGCCAGTGATTCTCAAACTTTGGTATGTTGGAATCACTGAGTGAGCTAGTAAAGAACACAAAGGAACCGTGTGCTGGTTGAAAGAATAGAGTCTGACCTGAACCTCTGCGATTTTGTCAAGTTCCCCAAGTAAGTCTGACACCCACCAAAGTTTGCAAAATACTGATATAAGGAAATAGCTACACTCGGCTGTCCCACCAAAATCTCAGATTCAGGTCATCCAAACCTAGCACATACCTCACTTTACTACAAACGTTCAACACTCTAGATTCACATTAGGAATTGTGAGTCTCTCTTCGACATGCCTTCTTTCCATTCCTTCCATTCCCAGTTCAAATCAAGCAGGATTTGTTTATTTATTTATTAAGAATGTACTATGTGCTGTGCAGACTTCTAGGCATTGGGGCTAAAATGGAGAATAAAATAGACACTCCCTGTCCTCCATGGAACCTCCATTCTAGGGGAGGAGAATGTTAGTTTTTGGTCTACAAAGACTCGCTTCCACCATGTTTTGTGTGGTGATCACCTTTCCTCACACTCTAGTCCCCTCAGATATAACATACCTACTTGGTTTCAGTCTCTAGTCTTTCCCACTCCCTGTTTGCTCTCCATAACCTGACCTCGTATCAGGTTCATACCTTTCTCCTCCTCTAGAATGGAGGCTCCACGGAGGACAGGGAGTGTCTGTTTTATTCTCCATTTTATCCCCAATGCCTAGAAGTGTTCCCAGCACATAGTACATTCTCAATAAATAAATAAATCCTGCATGATAAAAAACCATGCATAAAACAACACCTAGCATATGTTATGTCCTCAATATATTTAAGTTAATGAATAAAACCTACTCAGAATTGTTGAAAAGATGTTAAACAGTATTAGCCACACAGATCCCCTGCTTGGTAACATTAAAGATTCCTTCGGCATTTGTTTCACCCCATTTCACCACCCACAGCTTTTCTGTTTGTTTTTTTATCCACAATTATTTTGTATTAGTTACTATACTTCCAGGCATCACAGGCCTGGAAGGTTTTCTCTGAGACATCAGTGGCTTTAGCTTCTACAACTGTCCTTTTGGTACTTGAAACTTTTTAAGACAGAAATGACATGTCACTGTTAATAATCCTCTCTATTGTTTTATTATACAGAGAAAATTTTGTTTTGAAGTGCAACCCAAAACCTCTGAATTTGAGCCAGCATCTTCTTGTCCAATCTTCGAATTAGTACAGCCCATATTCTTGGCCTTAAATCCCTTGGTTCTGTAATCTTTGTCCATCAAACCACCATGGCGATTTTTCTAACAAATGAATGTTGGATCACTCTCCTATTTAAAAAAATATCCACTATGGCTTCCTATTACTTACACTGCAAAGTTTGAGCACTGGCAGCCCATCTGTCAAAATCACCACTGATTGTTGGTACAGTATTTTTTAAAACTTACTTTGAATGCTTCCAATTTATGAGAATCCTTACCTCTCTGTTGTTTATACCCACTTGCTTCACTCATTTCTACATGGCCTGCGTGACCCATGGCAGTATCTGAATTTCCAAGCCCTACCCTATAGGATAAGGTTCAAATTCTTTACTATGGTATACAAGAGAAAAGATGCTCAAAAAATTAATAATCAGTACTATCCAACTGGGCTTTTGCTAAAGAGGACCTTAAGTATAAACTCTTTCATTGCTGAATCCCTGGATGTGAGATGGTCTGGGGCAGCAGGACAGGGGAAGGGGCCTCAGATCAGTGGTTCATTCCAGCTTAGAATGACTTCCATATATTAACTCACAGAGCCCTACCTTTTGTCCTAAGTGAATGTCCAGCTGTGTATGAACTGGCCCCAACAATACTGCCACACAGTGGGGGCTCAGCCATTCCTTACCTTTCCTCATTGTAAAGTCTTATGTGCCCATCAAGCTAACACACTAAGCATTTTCTAGAGTGACTATACTCTTCCCTGACTTCTGTTTGTTTTGTCAAGGATGCCTTCTCTCCCTAATCCTGCCTGCTAAACACTTTTTTTTTTTTTTTTACAAAGAAACTCCTATTGCTTCCACTGTCAACACTTCATCTATTAATACAACTAAAGGTGTGGCCTTGGAGCACTTTGAATGTGCCTTTATAATATAATGTTTCACGTGATAGGGTAAATGTTTGTCATCCTCCTCTTCCGATGGTCTGGGACTACGTTTATTTGTAGCTCCAGAATCCACATGGGGCAGAGACTCCATATGTTCATGAATGAATGAATAGAAGTTACTAACTAAAATGTTTAAAGTAGACACCTTTTATTTTGTACTAAATCAGCCTAAACCCAAAGGAGCTCAGTGCTAGCAGAGTAACCATGGAGATAAGTTTGCTAATGTAAATTTCAACTTGATTGGCAGGGCACGCCAAGGGTAATACTAGATATATACCTAGTATCCTAGTTCTTTGGTGGCTTCTCGCAGCTAACGAGAAGAGAGAGTAGCTGCTGATATTACAAAAACACACAGGCACACATACTCACTTTCATGACAAAGAAAAATAGAAAAAAAAAGACAGTCTAGGGCCCTGGATTAGAAGGCAAAATACATTATAGTCTTGCCATAGCTGAGAGGGCTCATTATTAAAATTCAAATAGTTCATGATACTTCATTATTATGAGAAGTATAAAACAAAACAAAAATTACGTGTGCTGTGTGTGTGTGTGTGTGTGTGTTTATCATGCAAGCTTCTATCACAAACATGACCTGAGAAAGTTTACTACCTCTTAAAGTACTTGGAATAAACTAGCAATCTAAGAAAGAATTAGTAAAGATTGATAAAGAAAGATGAAAGGAAAGCCATCAGTATATACCTAAGGGATACATATTTTTTTAAATCTTGTTTTAGGTAGAATTATATCATAATTATACAAGTGTTTAATTTGACTAAGACCATTTTAAACATAAGGAATGACTAAGCAGTACACATTAAAGAGTTGTGTTTCAGTAGAAGGAAAAGCTATCAAATTCCTGAGCCGTACGCTTTATTATATATTTTGATCATCCTCACCAAAGGTAGCTGTGAACAGAGAAGAGGTGTTCTGTGCTCAGAACAATAATGTGCCTAGTCCTTTAAAGGCTGTTAGTTAAATCTGTCCAACCCCATTTTCTATCTGTTGACAACTGCCTGCAGGAAGGAAAATTACGACCTAAAAAGAAATACCAGGTTCTGGAAGCTATATCTTTGAAATCTACATTATTTTGGTGAAAGCTAAAGTGGAAGCCTTATGCCTGTGTGATTTTTAAAGGATTATCAGCTCCTGGAGAAAATCAGACACATTCTGAGAGATAAGAAAATGTTTCCCATAATACGGTCCCCAGATAACCAAACCCCAAATCAAAATCTTATTCAAGTTCATCTACTGGAGTGTGTTGGTGTTCATCACTTTTTGAAGGAGAAATCACTTGGAAAATCCACTCTCATCATTCTTCACCAAGACCCACCGGGAAGCCATAAGTACAAGTAAAGAATACAGGGTTTACTTCAAGTGTCATCTGACGGTTGTCAG